AGAAAAGTAACTCACCCCGGTCATGTTTGACTAATGAGAGGACATTAATAATTTTTATCGCATCGCAACAGGGGGACGTGTGGTCATTTCTTCTCCATTGTGTTCATACATACATGTAAAAAAAATAACCCTTCCCTAATATGTACACAGATCTGATCTACACAACCTAGCAATAAAAGAAACTGTACTTTATTTGGCAAAACATAATGTTCACTGCCCGCCATCACACTGGGACGTGCGACTGTACAGACAGACTATCCGACCGGTACACACGCTCTAGTTACGTTGTCATAACTCTTCGAGCGAGGCGTCAAGATATGTGCCCTAGATTCGATTACATGTCATCGGTTCAAGGTAGTTAGGTTCATATACAAAGCAAGCTGCAAAGTCAACATTCATGGGATAATATAGGTGTGCGTTTACTCAACCCTCGAGTAAAGAACGCACTGAAAGCTCTATAGACCACCTAGTTTTCTAACTAGGAAGTAAACCGGGTCAAACCAACTTGACAATTGTCCACACCTTTGACGGAGAAAGCTGAGGTCATAAAGCCTCAACGTAGACGCATGAGCAGAGTCACGAGCCTTCGCGGTGACGGCGTAGAAGGATTTAGACTGAAAGCACGTGTTTTTGGTATAATCCAGTGAATCATGATCGAAAAAATATGTTGATTTCGTCACGGACTAGGACACCCAAGTGACGTTTGAACTGGCTTCAAAACACTTTATAAAATAGGATCGGTGGAAAAGCGATTCTCACACAGGGAAGAGACAGCGGTAAGTGGCATTTTTTTTTCATTTTATGAACAGTTTTTACATGTACATGTATCTATACAACAAAATGGATCAGTAAGCCTTTCTTAATCAATCGTATCTCGTATTTGTTCGGCGATGAATTAGGAATGGTGTGAATCTTTTCACGGGTTATGTCTACCCGTTATGTCTCACCTGTGCATTGAGGAGTGCGTAGTCACTATTTCTCTAAAACAGTTTGATGGGGCGGGGCGGGCGGTGAAGTGACATAGAAAGTGTATGAATGACATGACGGGGAACGCAGTTTGTTTTGTACAGATACTTCCAGGAAATGTGATTTGCATCCCTGAATACTTCTGCTGCAGTGTAGCATATAGGAAATAGTAAGCGTCGCGTTATGTCCCTGCTTCGGGCGTTTCCTTTATTTAACGGTTGTTACTTTCGTTTAAGGGTACCGCAAGCCTTCACGTGTAGAAGACCGCAATGTTTAAATGCCAAGCCGGAGCTTGACATAAATTCGAAGTTATGGACGACGAAGTCGTTATTGTTGTCCCTGCTAAACATATCATTACACCGTACATTCAAATTGGGTACACTTTATCTTTTGGCGGAACCTGGTGTCACGTTTAGTGCCTGTCCTAATTTCGAGCTCCTGATACAATAAGTGTTGATTTTATGTGCTAAAAAGAAGTTCTATTCAAAATTTTGTTTCATTTTAGGTTGATGAAATACGACACTACCCACAGTCCTCAAACATGATTGTCGCGTGGCTGTGCGTTCTTCTAGTCGTTTCAGGTAAGAAGTTACAAGTGTATACCATCAAAGGTCTATTTTTTGTGTTAGGTAACTTTAAGTTCGGGGCGCATCAGCTCCCCTATAGTGCACAGAAAACGGCCGAGGAAGAAATCAGTTCTTTTTTATCGTCTTTGTATATACTCTAGTATTACAGTATTTTTTCTCATTCACTGTTGAATAATCTAATATTTGATTGCAAAAATATTATTATAATTCCCATTCCACAGGACTCCCCTCATAACACCATTTCTTTAAGTAATATTTTCCACATTTTCGTATCCTGTGGAAAAAAAATTTACAAAGGTATCTCGGTAGTCAACAATCAGTACATCAGTTCATAAAATTGAAAGATACACGGAATTTTATAATTGGTTTATATTGTCAAAATGAAAGATGGAATGCTTGCTGCACTGTCCGTGTTTTGGTTTTTGTCACGACGAAAGCAATTCCATCTATTTCAAAGACTAGCATACTTGACAGTTTTCACAAGACAACCCCAAGGGATTTCGTGGGCAAGGAGTTAAACACTTCTCTAAATAAAAATAAGGAAATGTACGTGTATTATCTTCTGATATTTCATTTGAGAACTTATTCGAAAATGTATATAAACCATCACTAAATGTGCTTATTGTATCCCTGAGAAGCACATACACCTAATCATTTTATAGCCAATGAATTTAGAAGCCACGCCGCTGACTTATCTCTGTTGACCACGACGTTTATTTGCCTGCCTATAACATTCCTCTCCAAACAAAAGGAAGCACGGGGATGGTAATTTACCACAAAGAGAAGTATGAATTTGTTTCACAGAACTGAAATGGCCGATTCTTATACAAAATAAAGTTGATGGTCAACCGCAATGACATTATTCATCACGATAAAACAAAAATAAAAACATTATTATAAAGGAAGTTTTGTCATGTTCAAGAAAATAAAAATAAGAACAATTGGACATGTGAATTTGGATAGTTTGCAATTAGCGTGAAGCACATGATGCATATTTTAAATGGCAGCGGCTATTTTCCCCAAGATAAAAAACACGTTCTTTTTCGTCAATTTCAGGCCATGGTACAGGTTTCGCCCTTGCCCAGAGCACGACCCAAACTTCAGTTACTACGGCAACCAAGCCAGGAACCACAATGCCTGGAACCACCACCACCACCATGGCTGCTTCCGATATACCTAGTAGCAGTTCCTCTCCAGGGGGAACAGCTTCCACAACTGTTAAAAGTACAACCACTCGCACAACCTTACAAACTGGACAAACTGCCACCTCCACAACAGGACAAGCAGCCACAACCTTACCTAGACAAACTACCACAACCACAACTGGACAAGCAGCTACAACCTTAACTGGTCAAACTACCACAACTGGACAAGCAGCCACAACCTTACCTGGACAAACTACCACTACCACAACTGGACAAGCAGCTACAACCTTACCTGGACAAACTACCACAACCACAACTGGACAAGCAGCCACAACCTTACCTGGACAAACTGCCATTGCCACACTTGGACAATTTGCTACAACCTTACCAGGACAAACAACCACTACCACAACAGGACAAGCAGCCACAACCTTACCTGGACAAACTACCACTGCCACAACAGGACAAGGAGCTACAACCTTACCAGGACAAACAACCACTACCACAACAGGACAAGCAGCCACAACCTTACCTGGACAAACTGCCACTACAACCACAGGACAAGCAGCAACAACCATACCTAGACAAACTACCACTACCACATCTGGACAAGCAGCAACAACAAAACCTGTACAAATGACCACTACCACAACAGGACAAGCAGCAACAACCATACCTAGACAAACTACCACTATCACCACGGGACAAGCAGCTACAACCTTACCTGGACAAACTACCACTACAACAACAGGACAAGCAGCAANCCTTACCTGGACAAACTACCACTACAACAACAGGACAAACAGCTACAACCATACCTAGACAAACTACCACAAGAGGACAAGCAGCAACAACCTTACCTGGACAAACTACCACTACCACAACAGGACAAGCCAGTACAACTTTACCTGGACAAACTACCACAACCACAACTGGACAAGCAGCTACTACCTTACCTGGACAAGCAACCACATCTTCTACAATACACACAACCACAAATGGACAGATTACCCAAACCCCCACCACTACTACAACAACGGGAGGTCTCACAACCAATCCTCCAACCACAACCACACAAAACATGGGAAATAGATCAAATTTTTCATCAAGTTATATAACCAGCACCCCTTCAAGCACTACCAAATATGCTTCAACCACATCATCATCATCATCTGAAAGTGCTACATCCAAAACCACAATACAGCAGGTAGAATCAACCACCCCTGGGCAACCATCTTCAATCTCCTCAGTAACAACACCTTTCTCCACTCAAACAGCATCAAGTGTGTCTACTTTTACAGGCTCATCAGCAACAATTAATCTTTCCTATTCAAGTACCACACCAAATAACACAACCAATACAACAAGCACTTCAAAAACAACTCAACAAGCAGTTGCAACCACCCCTTCTGTAACACCTACTGATGCAACATCGACCACACCTAGCATTAAAACCATACCAACTACAGGTGATCTTTTCCATCAAAGTACCAGAGCAACAACCATACCCATTAATTCAACTCTAGGTACAACAACCACTTCCTCGACTAGCACTACAATAAGTTTCAGTATACCTTCTTTAAATACAACAGCTACTGAAGTAACCACTTTGCCATCTGGGACCTCAAAAAATATAAGTTATAGTACACCAAGTTTCCCCCCCTCAAACAAAACAAATGCATCAGAAAGCACCACCCTTTTGACCACTTCAGCTACCAGTAGCACAATAAATGCAACTGTTAGTACCACTAACAAAATTTCTTCAGTTTCAGTAACTAAAACTCCAAACATCTCTACTACAGGTGCAACACTAAGTACAACTACTCTGTTTCACACTAATGCCTCACCTACAAGTACAACCAAAAGTACCACCACTTCTTTGGTTGAAAGCACAACAGCCACAACACCTGCACCTTTAAATACAACAATGGCTTCTGAAACTTCTACTACCCCTAGAAGCTCTACATATAGTACAACAAGCACGGAAACAAGTGTGTCTCCGACAAGTACCAATACAACCATAACACCCACCCGGACAATCCTCAGTACAACAAGTACAGCTAGTAGTACCATATCTAGTACAACAGCATCTAGTACAACAACATCTAGTTCAACAACATCTAGTACAACATTATCTAGTACAACTATATCCAGTACAACAACAACCACTGGTACAACACCTACTACCACTCCTACTACCACGAGTACAGAACTTGGTACCAGTCCCAGTACAATTCAAAGTACCATAGCTTCTACCACTAACACATCCCTTTCAAGCACCACAATAAGTACTGCAAGCACCATGAAAATCATACCATCTACAAGCACCACTATGGAAAGTACAGCGTCACTTAGTACTACAAGTAATACCACACAATCTGGTGCAGGCAAGACTTCTACCCAAACTATGGCAGAGCAACAGAAATTGGCCCTGTACATAGCTCTGCCCATAGTGTTGATACTGGTGATAGCAGCAGCCATATTTGGATTGTGGCTCTTTTGTAGAAGGTAAGTGTGTGCTCACTGCAACCTTGAATATGTCATTGTCACCCTGAGTTTTAGAGGACACTCACCTCTTCACTATCAGCTAAAATCAGCAGAGGCATACTCATAGTTGAGAGGCAGGGTTCGAGTATCCTCTGAAACTTGCAGTGCTTACTGTAAGAAGAAAAAGTATTTTAAAGGGAGTAGGTGAATAGTTGGTCCAAGTTGTTCTGATTTATTGCATTTTAACTAATCTTGAAAACCCTTTGTCAACTTAACATTTGTTATTCATTTTACATTGCGCACCTTTAGTTTAATTTGAAAAACTTTCGTACAGACTAAATAAAATATTCCACCACAAGCCAGAATTAAACCTCTGTGTGTAACATCTAATTGCCATGTCTTTCTTACCATTCAGTCTGAATGTCGTAGATATGGCATTTCAAACACAACCACAAAACCAAGTTATCTTGGATACATAAATATTGTTCCTACTCTTTTTAGTGTTCGTAAAAAACAACAAAACTGAACAAGTCTAATGATAAGGAAACCACGACAACACTTAAATGTAGAAACATACTCTAGAATTTCAACCCAAGACAGCCTACTTCTTCACTTTTACTTGCAATACATGGTCACGAACTGTAAATGTCTTATTCTAACTTTAAATCTTAAAATCGTTTCAGACGAAGAGGAGGTTTGTCCATAACGGATAAGGATGACTTCAATATGCTCACTTATAGCAGGTATGTAGTATGTATTCCCTTTATACTAATTAGATACAGATGGGGACCATTGCTTAGTTATTGTGGTGTTTTCCCTGCTATCATGCTCATTCCAGGCTGTGTTCAGCTGATACATAAAGATTACATGCACGCGGCACACCCCAGTGTTGTTGAGCTTTCACACCACGTGAGCATTGTGTGCAAGATTGCCAACTTGTCAAGAAAAATAATAACAGTGAAAAATCTTTTGCTATTTGTAAAGACAAATTTGACCACAATTTAACCTCAGTTTTTATTTCATGGCATAAACAGATTGACTAAAAAACAGCTTGAAGTAGTTTGGTGTGAGAATTTCCACGTCCAAGTGTAACCCACTGCCACTACAAAGACCAATTAACTCCCTTCAATAGATCTCAAGCTTATAACTTAATTACATGCATCTTTTTGTTACCTGCTTCAGAAATTCTCTTCCAGTAGGTTTTTTTTTAGTCCTCTTTAACCCTATTCATTTTCAGTGCAGATCCATCTGCCACCATGACAAGATATAAACTAACCAACCACAAACGCACCTACTCAGATAAATGGCGTAAAGGAAAGGGAGATATTGATGTCTGGGACTAGAGTGGTGCCCCCTGGTGTAGGTTACAGCATGCTTTCCTGCTTGCGCCTTCACATTCTCCACAACTGCATAACATATTGACTGAAATATGTCATTAACAGTTACCTTTGGTTTTACTCTGATCATTCTTATTCAAGAAATTTACATATTTTACTTCCATTTGTTGCTTGGTTCAGTTTGTGCATTTAAAATGCATATATATAAGGAATTCTTGTAAATGCAATGCATGAAATAAAAAACAACTGGGTTCATTTCAGGATTTACAGAATAGAAATATAGAAATTCTTGCAGTTTTCACATAAAGTATGCATCAAGAAATAGAATGATAAAATGAAATTGTACTTCTTGTTGCCAAGTTTACTAATCGCTCATTGATGAAACACATTGGAATGAGCTGTTCTGAATTTTTTTTGTGTATACAGTATTTTTTTTTCATAAAAACAGCTTTGCAGAAATGAGGCCTACGTAAAACATTTTAATTAATATCAATGCATAAACACAAAATTTATCACAATCTGAGCCCCTAGCTTTACCTCCGAGTCATTTTTGCTTGCATTTAGTTTTTCCTACAAATACTTTCCCCTTACCTTTTTTCCTTTAAAATATATTTTATAATTTGGAACTAATATCCCTTTTTACAGGTTTGAAGATGCTGCCTCAGGGGATCCATATGAATAGTCTGAAGTACAGCATTTGTTCAAAGACTTGTAGCCTGAATATTAACTTCTTCTGCGACTTTCATGAGGACTGCAATTCCACATTCATAACATCAGGAGCACATATTATGTAATATGGTAATATCTGTCTGAATGGAACCCGCAGAGCAAACACTTCCAAGTTCAGTATAAAAATTGGTACCCACAAATGATGGAATTGTGATAAAAATCCAACAGGATCTGTCATCTATCCCAGGGAGTAAAAGTCTGAAACTTGAGCAGGAAAACTGGAATGCTTCAATGCTGAAGCGCCCATTAGAGAAGAAATGACATGGCTCTTACAATGCGATTCTATACCATCTCTTGTAATGTAGCAACAGCCTCAGATTTCAGTAGAAAAATTGGTACTCACCAATCCTAGAAGCACATTCACTGTATTTGTGATGCAGAGTGATGGCTCTTGCAATGTAATCTTGAGTGCCATATGTACAAATGTATCCCAGAAATCATGTCTCGTACTCCAGCGGCAAAATTGGTACTCAAAAAAAGGCTGGGAGAATGGACTCCAGTAAAATAAATATAATAAGTTCATACTACAGCTGTACCCAAAATTAAGTGCATTTTTTGCTGCCTTGTGTTATAAAATTTTGAAGGGATAACATGCATTTATTTTTGTATAAACATGTGAATAGAAGGGGAGGGATACATTATTGTATTTTTTTTTTTTTTTTGGTTAAAATAATATTATGTATAATTTTCCAATGTTATATTTTTGCCACTGTAAAGACTCAAATTTTAACTGTCACATCAAGGTTTTTCTAGAGCACTGGGCCCCGTATCTCGAAAGCTTCGCATATTGCGAATGGCTATATCAAATAGAGGCTACATCAATGCGCGATGCTTTCTAGATACGGGGCCCAGGTCTTTATACTTATTGCTCTTTCAACTCTCATCTTTAAACAACTGATTGTATACAATGTAAAATCATATTTACAAACTTACTCAAGTTTTTTCTTGTATATCAATATATGAAATATATATTTTTACACAAAACTTCAACTTTTTCTTTGTTATTGCTGCATGGCTGTCTCCCTTACTGTGAATAACAATAAGAATACTAAGGTTAATTAAGAAACTATCACTTTATTTAGTGAAGTGTGAAATTGTTGTGCCCCATTTGTCATGAAGAGACAGAATATCTTGTTATCATAATTCTTAGTGTTTGTGGGTGTAAAAATTCACAATATTTATATTAGAAAAAAAAAAAACCAATAGGGTTTTCAATTCTATTGCCTAGCTCATCTACATTTCAGTAATATTCACTATCACCCTGGGGCCATTTGAATACATTTACTCAACTATTAGCTACAAAAGCAATAAACTCACTATGTGCCACACACCAAACAATTTTAATGTTAATAAAGCAGTAACATTCTTTATTGGCCAGCACGAAATAGTAAAACTGTACAAGTGAACAGAAAATAGTAGCAAAATGTTCATTTTTACAGATGTTGAATGAATCACCAATTGCATTGTTTTTTAAGCAATATGTATAGCAATAACTATAATAAAAGCTTGCTCCTTTCATAAAAATGTATCATTTTCAAGAAAAAAAGAAAGGTACAGAGATCTAAATTAACTTTGTACCACAACACTCATTTCACTCAAATGTGCCGAAACTTCTACCTCCCCCCTCCCCCCACCAACAATTTTCATTCATGTCTGAACTTGATGAAAAAAAGGTAACTCAAGAGGCACATCTACCACACTATTATACATTCTTTATGCACTCTGCCACACACCTCTCAATCACAATCAGTCTTCAATTACATCACATGATTTTACAGTTATATCTATTGTTGTTCACCAATCATAAGTTCACATAACTTGCAGGCACAGGGGGTGATATTTTCTGCAACACAGAATAAAGCAAGACTTAAGTGTTTTGATTGACCACCCCAGTGACTTAAATACACTGTATCTACTCTAAATCAGAGGTAAAAATAACACTGAAACCTTAAATTATGCTTTGGGTCTCAAAATGGCAAGAGGTTGTAATGAATTTCCTACCCATCTCAAACAAAAAATTTAAAAATAATTTCTAGACAGCATATTCACAAAGATCACTGCGCTTTAATTGAACGTAATTAAGAAAAATTGACATTGTGTATTATGAGAAATTTATAGAAAACATTCAAAATTTGCTTTAGTGCTGTGTCAAAGATTCACCCACTGTGCCTTTTAAGCACATTTAAATGTATCACATGCATCCCAATGACATTGCAATCTTGTTAATATGTACATCTTATGTTGCAATATTTACAATTTAAATATCATCTCATTGCTTCTTAGAGATCAGTTCCAGTTCTCTACCATTGCAGGTTATGGTGCGAGACCTGATAATGATGTTCACCATCTTAGTCCTGCATGGAGAGTGAAACGTTGGGAATTCAATAACAATTTAAATCTCTGATCATTTTTGATACTGAGGATAACATACTTTTTGCAAGGTATGCAATTTGTATCCACTCGACTAGGTCTGATACATTACCCCAAACAGTTGAAACAGATCATTTCAACATTTAGCCAACATTTTTTTTTCTTCTTTTCTACAACACTGTGCCAACATTTTTTTTCTTTTCTACAAGACTATGCTGTCTTTTTTCCTCACCATGTTAAATCTGCCTAATTTTTTTTAGAGATTATTTTGTTATTATGCAACCAAAAAAAATCTTTTACTCTGATCTTGCAGGCCTGAACTCACACACCACAAATCTAATCTTATCAACAAGATCCAGGACTTGACCCAGTACATTTGTGATGTTCCTGTTAGCTGTAGTTATGTGTGATGATCAGTTGTTTCTTCCTGTCCCGTGTCACTGGTACGGTGAACGGTGATGAGGAGAGCGTTTGATGAAGGAGGTATCTACGGAGTCCTGAGGGTCGTATCCAGAGCTCCACAAGCTGGGCCTGCCAGGGGAGGGGGTACGCTGCCAGGATGGATAGGCTAGAAGTAAGGAAAATGGATATATTCCATGGGGCTGGTTTCAAGGGGGGAAAAACTCAAGTCAAGAAATGGTCTTAACTTCAAACCCTCTGACCCCAAATAGACCCATTGTAGACCATTTAAATGATAATGACTTTATTTCACAAAATGTATGAAATGACTTATTCCAAGACCAAATATAACTTAACTTCAATGGGTATTATGGTAAGATTTATCCTCAGTTGAAGTCAACCAACATTTCAGTCTTAAAAATTATATCTTTCAACTTAAATTATATTCTGAAATTAGGTCCAGGTGATAGATTGGAAATGCTTCAATTCAAATCCTTATAAGTCAAATATTTGAAAAGACAGCAGGACCTACAATAAAATCAGAGAGAGAGAGAGAGAGAGGGGGGGGGTGCACTATCTACATGCATCAACTGCATTTACAAAAAATGTGTTATTTTGATCTGATATGCTCATCCCACTTTGACCCCTCACGTGTCATTACTATTTTAAGCATACAATTCGTAATAAGTAATTACCAGGTGACTGTGCATAGTAAGGTGAAGTTGGAGGGCTGCCTGGCTGTAAGAAAGCTCCAGACTGAGGAGGTGCCGCAGAATACTTTTGACCCATCACAGCATGGTAGCCTACAAAATGAAACAAATAAAAACAGAAAATAGGAACTCGAAATATGTCCATTTTCTTTAAAACGATACTTTTAATACATTCATTCAGTCATGAAATGGAACAGAAAAATCTCAAGAAGTCCACAAATAGACCCAATGCAGTCAAAATATTAAAATACTGTTCTATTTGAACTTACCAAGTATTTGGACTTAACAAGTTTACAGTATGCATATTATAAAACCCAGAGGTTCACAGTGAAGGATACTCACCAATGACAATAGCTGATATGGTGGCTATTATACAAAGCAGCATGAAGAGCCAGGTTTGGTAGTGATGCCCTATCACAGTGAGCAGACTGCTCCAGCCCGAGTCCTTCTGACCTTCTATTTGAGGAACTAAATAAAAAACACAATAAAAGGAAATGAAACAAAACAAATGATATTTAGAATAAGTTTAAGTGTGGGCTAGAACTCTGGTATCCTCAATACTAATACACAAAATCAAATGGCTTTAAAGTTAGTGCATAGACTTTATGGAGTTGTTCTATGTGGACTTGATCTCTGCTCTCTGAGGAGAATACATTTCAAAATTTGAATATTCTGTGGAAACCTACACAGCTTACCTACCCAATAACTTTGAAAATATTGTAGCTTAAACTACTCTGTGCACAGATCAGATGTCTTAAGAAAACACGTGCTGGCATTGTATACAATTAATCAAAATCAGCAACCTTGCTCTATTTTCTAAAACTTGCCTCCAAGTCCATCCTGCCTCTGACCAATCAACTTCACCCTTACAGGCACTGCATGGTGCTGTCCAGTCAGGCCATTGGTCAGTTCCACTCTGAGTTCCAGGTTCTCCAATTCCCACAGGGCCACTTTCTCCAACAGTCTCACTGGGTAGTGGACAATGGTGGGTGTCTGAGAGTCCACTTCTTGAGACAGGATCTCCAGGAGAGAGGGGTCACTGGCAACAACCTGGCGTGGACAAACAGCCATTAAATACTTATTCAACATATTGCGGGTGTTATATTTTAATATTTTTTGGCCAGGCCAGTAAATCCCAAGAACTACTGTACAGACTCTGATTTCCAGTTATTATAATTATAACACTTAACATATCTTACACCATAAGAAAAAATATCCAGCAATCAAGGTATCACTAAAAAATGCCACATCTTTTAAACTGGATCACAAGATAGGTAAATTTTACAAAATTTAAAGGAAAATTATGACCAAAACTACTAGAATCATACCAGCATCCCTACCTTGATTTCATCTCTAACTGGTCTCACTGAAGACACCCTGATACTGGACAGTGGCTGGAGGTTGCTTAGCAACAGCTCAGTGGTCATCACGTGGAACGCGGGATAAAATGGAACGCTGAGAAGAGTGGACATCACTTTTGGCTGGTGCTCTCTCTGGGTGACCGTCACCTGGAGTTGGACATCTGTCTCCAAGGTGCTTATTTCCTGCTGCAGGAGGTCATTGTCCACCTGAGTGACCTTGCAACTGTACTGGCCTGTAGGGAAAAATATGGTACACATATCACTGATCTAGGATAATATGATATCTGTGGTACTTTATCAATACTAACCATTTCAAAGGAAATACATCAATGTTCTCAACAAAATAGGGCCTGGGACATGATGGTTATTAAAGATACTTAATTATCAATGCATGCTAAATGCCAATGCTAGTAACAAGAAGTATGGAGCTGTCAAATGTACAGACATAAAGAAGAAAATAATAGTGCAAAATCGCTTATTTTGTCAATTTTGATGCAATTACAGATTATGCTTAACAGCGAAATTAACACCAACAGGTAACATGAATGTTAGGAATTCAAATTCACACACTGAAAATGTCAGAATGAGAAAAATGAAAATGTCACAAAAAATGCATAAATTCAAGAATAAAAAAATCCAATCAAGCTTGTTTACCAATTTGACTCGTTTTTGATAAGGGTATGACAACAGCAACAGCAGACGCAGGTGATGGCTATATATATACAGACCCATTGTATCTGTACATAAACAAAGCACTTTGATTCAAAATGAGGCAGACGTAAAAACTGTGGGTATGTTGTTTTTCATAGATAAACCTATGTCAGGTTAGGTTTAGACATTGCTCCAAACTGACCTGTCTGAGAGTCAAAGTCAGGAGACACTTTGAACAAATCTCCCACACTGAGCGCAGAATGAGCCCTGCTCATGGTCAGTTCACATCTGTATGGGAATGTCACCTGGAACTTCTCACTGGACAGAATCCCACTGCAGTTACTACCTGAACACATGGAAAAACAGAGAATCTTTCAAGTAGTCACTCAAAAGCATGACACCTGGCATTTATATATGAATTATCATAAATTTCTGAACCCAGAATAGAAGAAACAGAAAGCTCTGTCTCTTGTTTACTCCTTATTGTAGAATATATATTTTGATGTTAACACAAAAATAAAACCAGAAGAAAATATTCCTGTACTTGTGACAAGAAAATCATTCGATATTTTTTGTGGTTAAAACCATAGCCACATGACTTTTCAACTATACTTTAATTCAAAGTCAACTTCTAGCCTACCCATGATATTGCCATTGCCAATCCCCTGCTCCTTGCTTAGTATGACTGGTATAGACCAACTTCTGCTTCTGCTGACAACATTGGTCAGCGATTTCAAATTGTCCTGGACAATGTGAATTGACTGGACTGGGGCAACAATTATCTGAAAATAGGCCAAATTGTTTCAAAATTCATTGCTGGCAATTGCTAATATCCCTTGGAGTTTATGCAAAGCATTTATAACTACATAAAAAGCCTTTTGCTTGTAAATGGAAGCAAGGATTTTTATCACAAGAGAAACTACTTCAGTCTCTTGTTCTACGTTAATGACAGATATTGCCATCTTGAAAAAAAAAATCAAAGAAATAAAAATAATAATTAAAAATAAATAAATAGTAATAATAATAATAATTATAAAAAATCTAAAAAAATTGACTCACCTCCGTGTATGTTGAAATGTCATTGGACACCGTGTAATGTACAAATGTCTTCCCCACTTGTGTTGCCACGGCGATGCCAGACCTGGGATTCACTGTGAGAGCACTGCCTTCAGCAGACCATTCTCCTTTGTAACCTGACACAGAGATTTGACAACTTTGTAAACAGTTTGGTAATTATACCACTAAACCATTTGAGATACCAATTATACCATGATACCATGAATTATTCCTTCATGTCCAACTGTATTTCACTGTGCATCGAATGTACTTGTAAAAAGGATCACACATGTATGTTTCTCTTTGTGTACTTTCTTTTTGATTTTTTTTTAATTAAAAAAAAGGTCAACAAATGAGAACAAAAGTTTCCCTCTTCAAAAGTCGAGTTTTTTTTTTTTACAAAGAAATTGATATGCTTTGGTCTGACCCTACAAAATTATGAAGATATCAACCAAAATTGGGCTCAAAACAGCCCCAACCACTCCCATCCCGCCTCTTTATGCGGAAGTTTTCTCTTGCTCTTTTTCAAAATTAAGTCCTCGTTAAAACATATCCCACTAACTGGCTAAATTACATTTTATTATGGAATGAGCCAAAAATACCAAAAATTTGTATAAAGGACACTCATTTCTGTCCCCCAAAAAAGTGCTCAGAAAGTTCCTTACCTTGTTCTGACAAGATGGAGCTGTGCAGACAGATCACCTCTCCCAGTACCACCTCTGCCTGCATTGGTTGTATGGCATACCCTACATTGATCTTGATATAGTCTGATGTCCTGGGGTTTAGCTTATCCCAAACCTGAAATGAAAAGCACCAAATTTTGCTTTTACTAGAAATTGTGTCAGTGCACTCAAAATGAATTTTTCTTGCAGTTTCTGACCTTAAAAACATTCTGTTTAAGCTTTCTCTTGGAAACTGAAATTGATCTTCAGGTTTGCCTCAAAAAATCATTTTGTTGACAGGCTCACCTTCAACACTGTCAGGCCCACATCTGTTGTCCTGGCGACCAATGTTCCATTCACAGATCCTGGGGAAACTTGAAGCAGATCAAACCTACAAGACCATATGATCAATCAACATTTGACATTCAGAAATGGAAAAATTAGCTGCTATTCTTTTGTTATCAACTCTATGACATACTGCTTTCCCAGATAAAAAAACTGCTTATTTGGAAAAAAATTCAATTTGGAGAAAAAATCATGAAAAGTTTTCTGAAAAATAAATAAATAAATAAATTTATAAAAAATAATAATTTGTCAAAATAAAAAATACCTGCTTGGTCTGTACTTCAGCTTAGTATTTACAGCGTAAAACTTCTCGCCCACATCGTCATGGTAACTGATGGTATAACGCAGCGTTGTACCCACAGGGATGGTGTGGAGGTGTCCCTCTGATGTCCTAATCACAGTATCCAGATTAAACATCAAGTACGAGACTGGTTTCACCTTGATAAGAATGACCAGTGTCTGGTTGACCCCGAAGTCTTCGTGTGCAGTGACCAGAAGTGTGGCTTGACCACTGATGAGACCCGAGGTCACTTGACCAGTTTCACTCACACTGACCAATGGACTGCTAGTCTTCCCATCCCCTTTCTCTCGGATTATCTTGTAGGTAACCCTGGCAGTGCCATCTCTGTAAGTTAATAAGTTATAAGTTAACTGAACAAAAAAAAAAAAAAAGATTATATGCAAATGATAACATAAAGTAAAAGTTAATATTTCTTTTTTTGTGTGTGTTTGTGTGCATAAACATATTTTTGTGCAGCATCTTAACTTGAGTCAAGTAGAACACTTACCTGTTAGTTTTGACCACAGTCTCTGTGTTAGGAGTCATAATAAGATGTCCATCACATGAAGCAGGAGAGATTAAACGCAGTTCTCCAAACACCTTAAAACATATAAAAGATATTGTTTAAATTTCAAAAGGAGACTTTACAAACCAAAGATCTGACATTTTATCTTGATATTGCCTAAGTCAAAGTCTTATTTTAGGAAAACAAATGTGAGACTATAACAAGTCAGCAAAGCTGTCAAATGTGAAGACACAAACCAGTGTACAATATAGTTTTTTGTCTATTTTGATATATAACATAATGTTTAACAGCATAATCACCACCAATTTTAATCATGTGCTACAGGTAACATGGGCATTCTGGATCCACCCGTTTAAACATGCAGAGTAGAATAAAACTTCTGCACTTTTTAATTTTCAACAATCATTAGGTGGAAAGTTCTTTAAAATAAAAAAAAAAATGAAAAAATTGTTCAAAATCAATATTAAAATACAAATTGGGGATCCCTACTAAAAATACCATAGCTTTCATGCAAATGTGGTGATAAGTATCAGCATGAATTCCACTGAAATGAGAAACATGAAATTAAATGGAGAATAAAGGATGCAAATAAATGACCATGTTACATTCCTAACACATATTTAGTCTGTTGGTAACTAAAATGTTTGTCTTAAAAGTAAAGGCTGCTGCTTATATTCCAGGCTCTACTGCCTCTCAGTGGGGTTTACAATGGATAACAAAATGCCTGGCATACTTTTTGGTCTTGATTCATACTGGCTGTATATGTTCTCACTTCCTTGGGAAGGACATCAGCCCAGCTACCAAATGAGAAGCTGACAGCTAAGATGGGAACAATGTCCTTGCCTTCTGCAACTTAACTAGGGGCAGACAGAAGCCATCTTCTGGGTCTTCTGCAAGATGGTCAGAATTTTTTGAGTTTAAAATGATGGGTTTCTAGTTTTCTTCTGTTGAAAATTTTTGTCAAAAATGGAGGGTGGTTCAACAAAGATAATCTGGAGAACTGTCGAATTATAACTCTGGATCTGCCCATGTTTACTCCCCCTTCAACCCTTAGTGCCAAGTGACAAGCAGGTACCATTTATCATGGACTCCACTGTTTGTCGCCAGTAGGGCTCGAACCAACCTCCAGCTCTTAAGGTGAAAAACCACAAGGTCAGCAAGGTTCTTCCTTGTTTTGTTTCATCAGTTAGTGTAAGTAAGGTTTTCCTTGTTTTGTTTCATCAGTAAGTATCATTACAGGTTTTATATTCATGAAATGGTAATGATTTCCCATTTGTAATACAAATAGCACATTTGAATCTGCTTTTTACTGTACATTTTATTTTGATCTTGATTATTTCCTCTGGACAGACACAATGTTGACATTCTGGTAAATGGCCAAAAACTAAGAAAAGAGGAAGTATAAATAAACAAATACCTGCTTTGAATTACATGAAACTGGAAAAGAACCTATTATTGTAATTTTATCTAACTTTTCAAATAAGCAAATTCAAATAATTTACATAAAAGGAACCTTTAAATAAAGTCCAACAGTTACAACTGGGCATAGTGCCTGTTGACTTCAGTTGCTGTGACAAAGAAAAAGATGACCCAGATGTCTTCCATTTACTGTCTCCTGTTGCTGCTCTGTCTGGGAGCATACGCCTCAGGACAATGTGAGTTTTTCAATAGTTTCACTTTTTCATATCCAACATGTGACAAAAAGTTCTAGAATTTCATCACAGTATATAAAGAGAAAGCTCAGGTAATTTCATTTCATCAATTTAGGTTTCTTCCCATTATCACTGTGGTCTGTACGGAAAAAAAAGTAATGTAAATCTTTAAAAAGAGATCCTAAATAAATAAACAAGTGAGTGTACAAAACAAGTGTTTATGAGTCATTCTTTTCTTCTTCACTCCAAGGTCAAGTGGGATTTGTGACATCCGATTATTGTCGGGAGGGTCAAAATTGCCAGTGGTTGAAATATGTTAGCTTTAAAAAGCCATTTCCCAGTCCACCTGACGTTGTGACTGCTTTGGCTTTACTCGATTCCTGGTAAGGTCTCATTTGTTTTTTGTCTATATGTAATTGTAACATATGCACATTTTAACAATTTATTTTTATGCTCATTAAGGCTTTTAAAAAGCATGGCTAATTTTTCATGACTTTTAATATAATATCATAGTATTACATATATACATATCTTCATGCCCACAATACTGAGCAACAACATTCGGACATAGGCATCAAAATTTCAACAAGGCGACGATCTTGTAAGCACGCTTCCAGTTTCCACTTTTTGGTGTGTAACTCACAGAAAATGATTTCATGTCATCCGTGTTTAACCGCCAATCAGGATCACAGCATGCTTTCCCAACTCTGTGAAATAAAATGTACTCTTTCCTAATAATTTTTATATGTGTTTTATGTTACATTTTCCAAAATTTATGAATATAAAGCAAAATATGATGCATATTCTAAGCAGAAAGCATGCTCACAAAATCAGTACCATGTTGCCCATGTCCCAATGTTGTTACCCAGTATCGGGGAACGTGCATATGTGTGTGTGTGTGTTTGTGTGTGCGCACGCATGCTAATACTATTGTCCATATCTAAGGCTCTATTCCCATAGATTTTAGATCGATCTATCCCCGCGGGGAGTCTCACTAGATTACTTTCAGATAATCCGACTTAAATGTCCGTCCCGCCTACTACAAGCTGTAAGGGGGTAATTAACTTTCGTGTCCACCCGGCTGACAGCTATTTAGCGTGAACCCCCAGGGAGTTAGGTCGATCTAAAGTAGGTCGATCTAATCTATGGAAATGGGGTGTAAGTGGCTGTAGGTGTGCTATGTTAGTATGTGGTACAATCAGCAAAAACTAGTTCTTGGTTTTTAACCACATTATCTAGAGGAAATAATCAAGAACTATGTACAGTATAAAAAACAAATTTAAATCTTCTAATTGTTAAAACAAACGTGAAAACATTATCACTTCATGAATATAAAATTACAGTTTTAATTCCTATTTAATGAATGATAAGAATGAAAGAAAAGCATTTGCCAACAGAGTGAGTATGTGTCAGGCACTTTTATTTCTACTTCTCACCTAATTGCAAATTATGCTAAAACTATGTGCTAATTTACACAAAACCTGGGGAAGTTTTAAAATGTATTTGAATTTTTATTTCCATTAATTTGTTGGTTATTTCTAATGGATTAGTTACAAGTGCATCTTTTATTTATAAAAAAGGGTGTGTCAACCATGTGCGTGTAAAATTTAAAACGTCCCTGAAAAATTAACTTCTAAATCCAATTGCTCAAAATAAAATATTATCCAATTATCTATGACAAGGATGACATTTTGGGTTCTGAAAAAAAAGAAATAGCCATTATTTCTGAATGGCCCATATACATGTGCTGCTTCATGTGACATCTTTAAATCAGTGCATGTGCATTAGCAATCAAACCTTATCCTCACTGTTAGTTTGGTATGTTTTGTATATAAATGTTATCTGTTGACTAAACATTTTCGAATATTTCCCCCCATTATTTCTACACATTCATTTGTTTAAATTTAGGCGTGGTGGTAACATTCGTCTCAACATGCGCCCAACGTCCATCTCCACTCATGGTTTTGTAATGAACTTCGGTGTGTGGGGCCAAAACACCGATCCTCCAACTCACATCTACCGCCTCAAAGCTGCATGGACTGCATGTCCCAAAGTTTAACCACTACAAGCACCAAGCAAGAACTGGAAACTCTGATATTTGGATGTGGACATGGCCTAAATGAACTTATATATTCAGTAATGAGCCTAACATAGGGCATGAGTCTTAGGAATTAAAATCTACTGTATTACTTACTGCTTACTCCTCGCAAAATAAGAAAACATTACAGTAAATGACTTTACCACAACAATATGTGTCTGTTTTTCAATTTTAATGCAATATTATCAGGGGCCGATTTAGGCCGTCTTCTGGGTCTTTCAGAAGAAGGTCAGATTTTTAAGTTTACATTGACGGGTATCTAATATTTTCTGTCAGAAGACGGTCAAAAATTGAGGAAGAATTAACAAAGATAATTTGGAAGACTGTCAGAAAATATCTCTGGATCCGACCCTGATTATATAAAAAGATTAAAGCAATAATAACTCTTCCTTTGAGATTCAAAATTCCGCAAGAAATACATTTAAAACAACGCCTGGAAATATATTCTATTGCATTTTCCCACTAAAACGACTGTTATTGTAGTAAAACTAAAATCTGTGCTTGTCACTTGGGCTTTCGATGCCTTTCTTCGCAGTCGACAAGTGCATCCGTTGCCAATGACGTATAGGTGTCACGCGGATTCTCGCATCCATTCGAGACCAAAATAACATGGCGGTAAAGCCTCAGATGTAAGTTGGGAGTTTTTATACAGTGCGTCGGATAACGAAAAGCCCAGAATTGCACACATTGTAGATATAAATGCATTTTGAGCAAAAAGACGAACATATCTTATGAATCTTATAATATTGTTATATAGTGTTGTTGTTGTTGTCTGCTTTTCCTGCGGTTTTAAGTAGGTCACCAGAAACTATCGCTCGATACGAGAGGGCTCCGTCAGTTAAAATCTCTTAAGAGATTTTAACAAAAAACCGTACGTTTAGGAAAAAAACCCTGGATTAACTTTGAATGCAGGAATGGGGTCGTTGACCATTGGTAAGTACGGGAAAATTGCGGTTTTTTTCCAGGATAATCGTATTTTTGGCCAAAACGAAGAGTTATTATGACTTTAACAGTGTATTTACCACCAATTTTAATTATGTACTGTAGGTGACAAGAACATTCAGAAAAAAAGTAACTAGCATACAACTTCAATCCCATGGTACTTCAAACTTGTGAAAAATGAAAATTTCACAAAACTTGGTAACTTCACGAAAAACAATTGTTATAAATAATTCAAACTTCCCATAAATCACTACAGTAAGTTTGAGGATAATATGTCCAACGGTTTTCCATAAATAGCATTAATGGTGAATAGTGCAAGGCGAAGACGATGCAGACAACAGACGGTTATATGTACAGACATGGTTATATGTACAGACACACTGTGTCTTTACATTAAAAACCATCTACTTTTTGCTATTACAGTTCTTTAATCAGAAATAATTATAACACATCCC